TTCTCCTCTGGGGATCTTGGGCACGCACGCACACACACCCGGCGTGAGTTTTAAGCCACCGGGTCCAGGACGCGAACTGCAGTCGACTACGTGGGAGTCCAGCAACATAGCCATTACGCTAACTGCTGGTTCCCAATAACATCTTTTTTTGAGTGATTTTTGCTATAGATTTTTGCTCACCAGAGAAACAGAGAGACAGAAAGTGAGAAATCAGCCTCCAGGGAGGATGGCCATAACACAATCCCTTCTCCTTCATTCTCCTCTCAGGATTTTGGGCAGTCATGTAAACACACCCAGCATGAGTTTCAAGCCGCCAGGTCCAGGACTCGAATCGTGGTCAGCCATGTATGAGTCCAGCGCCTTAACCACTACATCACCTGTTGTCCCCCATCTTTTCTTTTTTCTTTTAAGTTTTTTGCCCAGGGCACATGTACTTGCTGGAGAGACAGACAGAGACAGTGAGAGGGCAAGAGAAATAACCCCAAGCAGGGGATGGCCATGCTGCAGTCCCTTCTCCATTCACTTCCTGGGATTTGGGGCACACATGCCCGGCATGAGTTTCAAATGACCAGGACCAGGACTTGAACCATGGTTGGCCATATGGGAGTCCAGTGCCTTAACCAACATGCCACCTGCTGGCCCTGGGAAATATCTTAATATTATTGGGAAAATAGTTTTGCCATGGACCCCAGAAAAGGTCTTGGGAGCTCTCCAGGAGTCCACAGGCCACACTTCAAGCATTTCCGATAGGTACACCCTGAGCCTAGATAATCACGGCGTATGATGCTCCAGCTTGCTCGCTGCACGGACTCAGTACTGCACTGGGAGGTCCCCCCGTTTGTTTAGCTGATCCCTGCTTTATAGTCCGCTGACTTCGAGTTTTCTCCTCTCAGAAGCAGGGCAGCTGTGGATGTGCTTGCATTCGTGTGCACTTGAACCTGGGTCAAGGGGAACCCACACTTTCGAGGCTCTTGACCCCAGTCCCCGGCTGCCGTCCACATGGGCGGTTCCCCAACCTCCCGAAGCTGCGCCCAGCCCTTCTGTGTGTCGCTGCAGGTGGAGCATGACCCCGCCCATGGTGAACGCGTACTACTCGCCCACCAAGAATGAGATTGTGTTTCCAGCCGGGATCCTGCAGGCACCGTTCTACACCCGCGCCTCACCCAAGTATGTGGCCTCAGTGCTGCCCCGACTCCCCCTCTGCCCCTCAGAGGACCCCCTTCCCAGCCCGGTGACCCGTGCCGAACCCTGAGGCCACGCCAGTGTCACAGAATGATCTCTGTGCTGTGGCCCTGATGGATCGCAGAGAAGCTGCAGAGGAACATCCGCACCCTCTCCTTTTCCCTATAGGGAAAGCTCCCACAGTGAGGAATTGGGAGCCCTAAGGCTTCCGAGGAAACACCTCTCTGACAATGTTTTAAAACAGTCAGAACTCAGGAGCTGGAGGGGTGAAATCTGTGTAGTCCTGGGCTTGAATCCCAGGTCTGCTTCTTAGTGGCTTCATGGCCCTAGGCACATTGATTGACCGTTCCCAGTGCTGGTTTGCTCATGTATGGAGCCGGTTAATAATGTCTAACTCTTCTGAGATGCCCCCAGTTCTGTCCAGTGCAGTTCTCTAGAGCAGCGAGCACGGTGTGGTGGCCAGGGGCACCGCTGACCACAGCAGACTCAGCCAGCCTCTGACTGGCCTCAGGGGCCTGGCTGGAGGCTCACGCAATAGCCACATCCCCACTGAGCCCTGCGGGACTCTGCTGTGTCCCCAGGCCTCGGTCACATAACTGGGCAAAAACGAGAGGCCTCCCTCTCAAGGCTTCACTCTCACCTTTGTGTCCCCCCCTCTAGGGCTTTAAACTTTGGTGGCATTGGCGTCGTTGTGGGCCATGAGCTGACTCACGCTTTTGACGATCAAGGTATGGGTTCCCTGGAATTCCCTTCAGACAGGGCCCATCAGCTTCCTGGTCCCACTGCCTCTCCTTTCTGCTCCCTTCACTTCTATAGTCTTAGTGCTTGAGATAGAAGGGTGTGGGTTCAAATCCTGGCCCTGCCGCCTGCTAACTGCATGAATTTTAGCATGTCTCATCATTTCTCCAAGTCTCTATTTCCTTATCCATAAAGGGCATGATTATTCCAACTCAGGCAGTGACCCCTGCTCCTGGGGGCTTTTCAGTGCTCTGGGCTAGGTGCTGGTAGTCAGCGTGAGTGCACATTTCTCCACCACTCCAGAGACATCTCTGGTCCGACTACAGTCAGGGGAGTTAAAGTCAGTCCCTGCTTTCCAGCCAGTGTGCACAATTCTCCCCAGTGCTTCTGAGCATCCCAAAGCTGAGAAGGGAGAGCCCAGCACCTTGGAGGCAGGGTGTGTTGTAAGCCTCATGCCATCAGCTCCCTCTGCACCACCCTTGGCTTTCGTTACTCAGGTGGAAGGCCCTCGGCCAGGGTTGAAAGGAACTGCAGCACTGCCGAACCTTGGCACCCACTGGGTCTTCTTGCCTTGCCTGGGCTGCTCCTTCCCCCTCTGCCCGCACCAACTGCCTAATCTACCCACCCTTTCAACACCCAGGTGGCCATCTCCTATAATGGCTGGAGGGTGGGGTCTGCAGAGGAACCCGTTTCTCACTGGGAGGAGAAAGGTTCAGTCAGGGGCGACAGGCTGCACCCCGCTCCCCCTTCCCTTGACCCAGCACCTCCCTCCGACCGCAGGACGGGAGTACGACAAGGATGGGAATCTGCGGCCCTGGTGGAAGAACTCATCTGTGGAGGCCTTCAAGCAGCAGACCGAGTGCATGGTGGAGCAGTACAGTAACTACAGTGTCAACGGGGAGCCGGTGAACGGCCGGCACACCCTCGGGGAGAACATCGCTGACAACGGGGGCCTCAAGGCGGCCTATCGGGTGAGAGCCCTGCTCCCTCTGGGCCCAGTCAGGGTCTGGTCTGATGCCTCTTCAGTAGAGGACGTTGTAGACACCCATAGGCAAGCTGCGGCAGCTCTGTGAGCCTCCGCCTCCCCACCGGCGAGTGGGTGGTCGAGAGGACTGACGGAGAAGCTGACTGAATGCACCTGGCATAGAGCCGGGCACACGGAAGGCCTGGGAGAGACATGGGATAGGGCGCGGGCTGGATCCCCCTAAAGAGCCTGCCTCTTCTTACCTTTGCAGGGAATGCCACCCCAAGGCGGTGAACTATGGGCCTGGGAAACTCCTGGGCCCAGAGGGAGGGGGATATTGGTCATGGAGCCTGTTCTAGGTTCAAATCCTGACTCCGGAGTAAGTCACTTAACCTCCTCGGGCCTCAGCGAATACCTGCTATGGCATCACTGGGTTATTAGGAAAATAAAATATGATGCCCTGGATGTAGGGCCTGGCCCAGAGGGGCGTTCGGAGATGCTGGCCGAGTCGGATCAGGGAGGTACCAGGAGCCCCAGGGAAGCAGGAAGTGCCCATCAGAGAGAGCCACCCAGAAGTTGCTTCTGACCTGACGGAAGGAGCAGGGGCCCCACAGCCATTTATTAAGGCCTCATGAAGGGCCAGACTTGGCGTACTCCCCAGCAACTTTACCACTGGGTTTTATGTCCCCGCTTTGCGGATGAAGGAACTAAGCCCCCGGACAGTAACGTGCCGGAAGCTCACTAGACACTGAGAAGATGTGGCCAGCCTTCTGCCCACCACGTGCTGTGTCTTAGGCCCTGGACAGTCCATACCCGGGTCTCGTCCCATAAAAGCTTCAGTGTTAGTGGAAGCCAGAGAACAGGGAGAAAGGTAATGAACACCTGAACAATGGGTGACATAGTGCCAGATTGCAGTAAGATGAAGAATATAAAACAGGGCCAAACGATAGAGGCGGGAGGTGGTTAGGGTCGGCCTTGTGCAGGGAACGACATTCGGAATGACATGTAAGTGATGAGGAAGAGGCAGAGAACCTCAGGAGAAAACTGGTCTCAGCACAGTGAGGAGCAAGTAAGAGGCCTTGGGATGGACCAGCCTAGCTCGTTCAGGCTGGAGGAAGGCGCAGGGGAGGGGAGGGAGTGCAGGGCCAACGCGAGGTGTGGCTGACCTGAGGAGGGCGCTCCAGTTTCATTCTGGTTACAGTGAAGAACACTGCAGGGTTTTTTAATAGAGCAATGATGATCTAACGTGTCTTTTTTTTTTTTTTTTTTTTAAAGATGTTTGCTATAGGGCACGTGCGCTTGCCAGACAGACAGAGAGAGACATAGAGACAGAAAGCGAGAAATCACCCCCCAGGGGGGATGGTCACGCCGCAATCCCTTCTCCTCCATTCTCCTCTTGGGATCTTGGGCACGCATGCACACACGTCCGGCGTAAGTTTTAAGCCACCGGGTCCAGGAAGCGAACCACAGTCGACTACGTGGGAGTCCAGCGGCATAGCCGTTACGTGTCTTTTTGAGAATTATTTTATTTAACTTTATCTATTTATCATCATTTTTATTATTTTTTAATTTGACCAGAGAGAGAGAAAGTGAACAAGAGTCAACAAGCCAAATCCAGCCCTCAGCCTGTTTGCATAAAGTTTGGGGGGAACATAGCACAGCCATTCGGATGTCACCTGCAGCTGCTTTTGCACACCTGAGTAGACTCATGTAACTGGGACTCTTAGCCCACAGTCTCTGGCCCTTCGTGGAGAAAGTGTGCCTATGCCTGCTCTGTGAGGGTTGCCGGGGCTGCAGGGTGGGGAGATTTGAACTGCTGGATTGGTCTGAGTGGGAGACAGGTTAGAAAGCCGTGAGAGGTTGTCCAGGCCAGAGCTGAGACACGGCAACATGAAAGATGGAAAGCAGTCAGATCTGGGATGCGTGGTTTGAGTGGAAGAGGGAATAGGGGCCCGGTGGTGTGGTGACACAGCTGGAGCACACGTCAGGAAGGTCCTGGGTTCGTGTCCTGGGACCTCCTTGCACACGTTGAGTGAGCGCCTGCAAGCCCGTGCCCCGTGACCCAGGCCAGACTGCAGTGCCCAGGCCCTGCTGGGGGCCCGTCTCTGCACCAGTCTCTTGTGTGCGTGCAAAATACATACATACTTTTTTTTTTTTTTTTTTTTTTTGCCATGGGGTGGTCGCACTCACTGGTG